GGGTTCCAGAAACAAGGGGTGTTGCGTTAGCAACGTTGTTTTCATTTCGCATGATGGGCAGGCGGAGACAGAGAGTTCCAGACAGGTTTCCCCGAAGGTAGGGCCTAAAACAAATGTGGACCCGCCCGCCTGCCAAGTCGGGGTTTTCATTACCTTTTGAGTTTCCATCTTGCCATCTTTCCGTCTTTCCTGTTTCTGTTTCTGTAGCTGTAGCTGTGGCTGTTTCTGTTTTCCTTTCATTAGTTGTCAGAGATTGCCGAGTCAGAGATGGACGCACCGCACCATCATCACCATCCTGCCTGGCGCAAAGTGTTTTTAATTCTCTCATTAGTAACTGAAATTACTCCACACCATTCCGTGTGATGGATGATGGTCGGCATGATACGGAGGAGCGAGCTGTTTCCGCTGCACGCTGTATGGAATATGCATCTTTTGTGGGTCCCTGGAATGCGGGCTCCGCTGCTGCTGCAGTCACTCTCATTAGTTTGATTGAACAGAAATTCACTCTTAATTTGTCAATCCGTAATGGTTGGTTATTGAAACAGCCCCTTGAGGGAATAGCAAACACAGGATAAAGACCAGGCTTCAAATAGCACATACATGTGGTACATCGACGAGGAAAAGGTAGATCCAATCCAATTCAACTGAACCCTTGACTTCAGCTGATTTGCGAGTGATATATGAGCCTGGTTTTCGTAACTCGAAGCCATTACAATAATGTTTTCGATTCCTCGACTCTTGACTATCTCAAATTCAAATAACCAAGCCATTCATCTTCCATTTTGGGGTGTACTGGTTCAATGACTTAATGCTCCAGTTCATGAATTTGAACCCTCAAAAGTGTCGCAAGCATCGAGTCTCTGGGTCTGGAGTCAATTCATGGCATTCTTTCTGCATTAATTACAAGCAGAGAATGAGAAATGTCTCGTACTCAAGAAACTGGCAGCTGTGTTCGCTCTCTTCCCTCGGTTCTTTGTTTGCGTCGCATAGCTAATTAGCAATTAAATATTGCCACTTTCTGACACGCCCCACTTACGCGCATGCGCGGCCTCCACATAAAAGGGGTTTTCAGAGTTTCCACATGCTAACAGCAAAATGGTAAAATGGTAAAACGGTAAAACGGTTTACAGGCGACAAATGTTTGGGAACGCTTGAAGCCCTGAAATTCCTGGACTCTGCGTACCTGACTTGCATATCATTTCACAGTCCGCTGAGTGTGCGGTAGTCCATCAAAAACGAAATAAAAAGAAATAAAAAGCAGTGGTAGCATTTAACACCATGTTGCGCCTGCGCATTTGTATTTCGCGTGGGCTGTGCCCTTCCCGTGATCCCATAAACGCACAGCCATTACAACTGCATTCGATCAAGGGCTATCTGGTGGTGCACCATACTCGTACATATCTAGAGCTGCAGCCAGGCTGCTGAACTCGCAGCTCACTGCAAGGTAGAGAATAGAATAGAAACCGACACAGAAACAGAAACAGCCACTGAGATGACTTCTCTGGGCTAGACTTATACAGAAAGAACCTGTTTTTGGGCCCGGTCTCTCTGTTCTGGGCCCGGCAGTCACAGTAAACGCTCGGAAATTACAAACGCAACTGATTCTACTTGCTGGGCAGGGTTAGTAGTACTTAACATTAACTACTTGCGTCTTTACTGATGTTTTTTGTTTCGGGCATAGTTGTGGCAGGGGTTTTGCATGCTTACCCAGATATTTTCTATAATTTTGAGAGCAGATAGCAGTTGGTGTCCATGATCCTTTCAAGTTTTTCATTTCATCGAAGACCATTTAGAAGCAGCACAAAGTACTGTCGTCCAATTGTACAAACACAAATGTATTTCTGTCACGACACTATAATACGAAGTGAATCATCTTCCATTGGACTAATTAAACAAATCCTCTCCTGCCCACCACTCGTTTTATAAAGTCTGCTTTGGATTTATATGCCCAGTAGTAGATACATATATGTATGCATTACTTGGGAGTTTATTTCAGCTTGTGTGTGCTTTTCTAATATTGAAATGAGTTGGTTGCGCTTGTTTCCCAGATGCCCGCATCATGATGCCATTTCACGTTCGTCAACCGATGCAGTTGCTTGATTGCTGGGCCACCGCCTTAACCCATTGCCATCACATATTGCTAGGGCTTAGAGTGGAAGGGGAGGGGAGTGGGCTGCATGGGCGGCATGGGCTGTCAATCCAATTTTAATGAAATGTGTTACTTCGATTCCCAGGCGCAATTAATTTGAAATGTTTCAGCTGAGCAGGCACAAGCCGCACTCGAATTCTCCCCCTTCGGCGTGTGGCCCGCATTTATGTGCAATTCGCACAAAACATATTTTCAGGGCATTCCGGAGCTTTGGTCAATGCTCCTGATGTTTCTACGGCTCCTCTACATCCCATCGGATTCCAACTCTTTTTTCAGCACTGAGAAAAAGGAGCATCAGCTCAAGATATACAATTGATCTATTAAATTTGGTACCAATTCAAATATTTGCCAATCTTCTGAAATTATATGATTTATGTGGATATTGATGGAACTTTAAATACACTGCTGCCAGTAAAGTTTTTAGATGGTGGTTTTAAAAATGCCTCATGCAATAGAATTCGACATCCTTTTGAAAAGCGCCGTGTACTTCTGCTCCATGTAGTTTGTGTCAATTGTTTGAGCCTGAATTGTTTTGGCAAATGTTTGAAGAGCAGCCACAGACACGCACACATAAGCGGGAGTATCTGTGTGCGTGGAGGAGGGAGCAGATCCCTAGGCTCATTGCACTCGCTTCCACTGCATCGTGCATATACTACAGTATACTACAGTATGTATGCATGTATAGACCCCTAGCCACCCCCTTCTTTCCTGGTTGAGCTAAGCCAACTTCCGGTTATGAACCCAGAGCACCTTTCGCATTTGGCATTTGGCATTCGCACTGCAATTCCTATTCCTATTCCCATTCCAATTCCCATTCACGTTCACGGTTCAGTTGCTCAGCGCACACCCAAACCCAATGGACATGCCCCCATCCTTTAGAGCACTCATGACTAAGTGCAGTGGCTGGCATACTCCGTTTTTCAAAATTAGTTGGCAGTGCAAACGAGCCGAGGCCCAAACAAAATGCTTTACTTGTTAGAGGTCATTAACGCTGCCATTGTTTCGGTGGGCGAAGGCGCCCAGAGAGCATGTCCATGGACACTGAAAAACTGGAAAAGGTCACCCGCAAGTGCCAACGGATGTGCTCCGGGTTGGCTCATTAAAATCGGATTTTTGACTCAGTCCCCGCTGCACAAACACAATAGATTGAGCACCTACAGCGTTTAGAGCTGCTCCATTAATGGCCAGTGGATGTGTTCGCACTTGAACGCGCGTCATTTAAACAGCGGATAAGTTTTAACTTATAATGGAAATGGTTACACCACATTCAATACGGCAATTGTCTATGTGGAATCAAACTATAATGGAATTCAAGTGAATTATAAGATCACTGGGCATTTAAAACGTTCAGTTCACACTCAAAACTACAAATATTATATATAAATAAGTACAATAGTACAGAATACATTCGGTTTTTAATGTAATAGGAAGCTTAAAATTATACATATATTTAATTACAATAACCCAGATAACTAATGAGTAAACCAATTTGTATTGCAGATAGTGCCACCTATGTGGGCAACACCCTGCGCATCAAGTCGGTGAAGAAGGAGGATCGCGGCACCTACTACTGCGTGGCCGACAACGGAGTGAGCAAGGGCGACAGGCGCAACATCAACGTGGAGGTGGAGTTCGCCCCAGTGATCACCGTGCCGCGTCCGCGATTGGGACAGGCCCTGCAGTACGACATGGACTTGGAGTGCCACATCGAGGCCTATCCGCCACCGGCCATCGTGTGGACCAAGGACGACATTCAGCTGGCCAACAACCAGCACTACAGCATCTCGCACTTCGCCACCGCCGACGAGTACACCGACTCGACGCTCCGTGTGATCACCGTTGAGAAGCGCCAGTACGGAGATTATGTGTGCAAGGCCACCAATCGCTTTGGAGAGGCGGAGGCGCGCGTCAATCTCTTCGAGACGATCATCCCCGTGTGCCCACCGGCTTGTGGACAAGCGTACATCGCCGGTGCCGAGGATGTGTCCGCCACTTCGTTCGCTCTGGTGGGCATCCTGGCGGCGCTCCTCTTCGCCAGATAAGCCAATGAGCCCAAGTCCGCCGACTCCAAGCACTGCAGGTCCAATCCATCAACCAGCCCTCGAATGCATAAACATATATAAAGTAGATATATCGAAAACAAACATCGTGTAACCGCGCAATAGATGTCTCAAACGATTTCGGACACACCTACCCACATCCAGTTCTCAGTTCGTTTTGTAGCTCCTGCTTCCGTTTCCGTATAGTCCAGGCCAATTTTTGTACGTCCAATATTATGTCTTAAGTTAAGTATGATAAGTGAAGGGCCAACGATAACTAGACTATAATTTATTAGCACCTTAGAGCCAAACTCAATTCGAAATTGGACTTCAACCCAGCCGTAAACGATGCATTTCACCTTGATCCCGTCCGTTTTGCTTTCTCATCTGGCACTGTATATGTTTTAAATACCTTAATCTAAGCAAGATACATCACAAGCATTCCGATTTTGCTTCGACAATTGAGAAGATATTTTATTTTTATTTAATAATAATAAAGTATTTTCGTTACGCAACGCAAATCTATCAACTCGACACACTCACTTTTCCCCAAAAAAATATCTCAACCCCATAATCGAGGCAAAATCCATATTCGAAAAAAGGCAACAAAAGTTGTGTACATTATTAGCTCATAAGCACAATGAAAAATTCTTTTGAATAACAAGACATTTTTACCCAAATTTTTGTGTGGGTGTGAGTAAAATCAATTTCGACTTTGTAACAAAAAAAATGACAAAACAAAAAACTAAAATAAACATAAAAAAAATGAATAAAAATATTTAAAAAATCAAAAACGGATTACTTGTTCATTCTAACAAGGTATTCATGTAATTTAAAATTTAAATGGGTTAAAGTATTCACAATATAAATAACACGCTTAATTAGGTGGCGCCCGAATCGAACTCTCATTGGTGGCCATGCGATAGTAGAGATTGAACTCGGATTCGTAGTCGGCAAAGCTGCCACTATTGTATCGCTTACTAGGGGGAACGTAGCGTCGCAAGGGATTCTCTAACAGGAACTGGTAGATGCGCTCGGCCTTTTCCAGCTGTAACTGAGTCTTCACCCCAATGGCCATCAGGTTGTCCAGCAATTGGTCAATTTCCTCGTGCTGACGACTCGCCTTCAGTCTCAAATCGTGCGGATCAACTGGGGAGCAGGGGGATACGTTTCCTATCAGCCGGATATGAGACAAAATGTCGGAATCGAGCTTACCAATTAACGGCTGCAAATTCAATTTCAAGTCAGACGTGTGTGCGGCAATTGCTGACGCCCACAAAATGCGTTTTCGGACTTCCTGCAGAGCGCCGAAGGGTGTTAGCAAATAGCCTGGTGCCAGTTGAACGGTGGAGGCCAACTCCTGGGCCTCGACGATGAGTGGATTGGCGGACAGCAGGAAGGAGCTGTCGGGAAAAACATGAACTCTGGATTAATTGGAAATGGCACACTCAACTGAGGCATGCTCTCACCAAGTGCGCGGCGTACAGCTGAATTTTTCCAGAGGTATTTCCAGAAAGGTATTGAATTCCAGCAAATGCGATGGTACCGTGGCTCCGGATGCAGCCATCAGTGTGGAGGCTACTCCGCCCGGCATTAGAGTTTTGTTGTCAAAGCTGCGACGCATGGTTGAGTTTATTGCGCTGCAGTTGCCATCGAACTCCACCTTGGTGCTGGAGAACACGCTATCATTGGCCAGACAGAAACTCTCCGCTCCCAACATGGACATATTGCTGACTTTTAGCTTGGTGCTCATCAGCTGAGACTTGGCGTTTTGTTTCTGTGTGGCCGCTTGCATATCGTCCAGCAGGTTCTTCATCATATTTCGCGAAAAGAGGATCTTCTCCTTGATCTGCGACAGCTGCACCATATCCTGCTGGATACGGTTGATGCTGGAATTAATGTCGCCGTATACTTGTTTCACAGAGCCCAGCTTTAGATCGTGGTTCTCTAACTGCTTGGCACTCGCTTCTAGTTCCAGACGCAGTTGCTCAATCTGCTCGCGAAGGAATTCGTTCTGGGAGCGATTAAAATTGCACATGTTGTACTGCACCAGATAGTCGCTGATCAGTTCATCCGCATTTTCTTCGTCGCCCAAACAAATGCCATTGAAACTGTATACCTTCGATTGCAGTTTGTCCACAAAGACGCTGTAGTCCTGGCAAAAGCGTTCCTCCTTCTGCTCCAGCTCCTTTTGTGCCCCGAAATATTTGGCCACCAGACCAATCATATCGGCCTTGGTCTTTAGTAACTTGACCTCGTAGTTATTAAGCGGTGGCTTTGCATTTGTGCATTTGCCTTTGGATTCATTCAGCTTCATGATGTACTGCAGCTGCTCCTCTTTGATCTTCATTACAACGTTCAGAAGCAGGGCGTTGGGAATATCCGCAAAGGTGCTCCGCATCTCATCCCACAAGTGCTGCTTGGCATCTGCTAAATTGTTCATCGCATTGCCCTCGTCACCCATTCTGTAGAAGGTCTCCAGCTGCTTGAGAGCCTGCTCCACAGCCCTTGTTGCCTGCGCCTCGCTGGCATTTCTGGCACTCAGCTTTACGGGTGTGGTGGCCAAGATCTGGACCTTGTTCTTCAACTCCTGGTCGTAGTTCTTATTCAGTGACTCTAGCTTCAGGTCCAGGATATTATATTTGGATTCAAGCAGTTGCTTCCGGTTCTCAGCACTGATGGTTTGAATGTCTGTGGCGGGTTCACCGGATTAGGTTGATTAGATGTATGATGTTTTATACCCACTCTTGGTCTTGATGACGGCGGATAGCTTTTGGAACTCCTTCCGGGCCTCCATCAGCTGTTGATTCGCCTTCTCCTTGTGCTTCTTCAGATCCTGTATTTTCTGGTACCTCTGGAGCTCCGGTGGATGGAAACTCCTAGAAGCCAACGGCACCATTTTATCCTTATAGCGAGCCACTTGGGCAATCAGCAGGTTCTCCCGCACCTCCCGCACGCATTCTACCGGCTGGATGCGGGATTGCAGTTGGTCCAAAAGTAAACTAGAGCCAGACTTAAAAATTCTGTGCAGCAAAGGACGGGTTTTAAGTATGGATAGTTGGTGATTTTCCTAATACAGCTGTAACTTACCTTCGGAGGGCATCATCGGAGGGCAGGGCAGTGGGCGGGCATCCCAGACTAGTGGCCCAGTGCTTAAATTCTGTTATCTTCTCCTGGTAAGCCATAAATTGCAATTAATTGTATTTTTCGCAAAAAGGCGCAGTCGTTTGAACCGGGCATTCACCAACACAATCAAATCGGGCAGGGTTGCCAACGAACCGCGATTCGCATAAAGTTGGCAGCCCCCATAACGGTCATTTAAATTAAATCAAATGTTCAAATTGTCTAATTATATAATGCCTATAAAGCTTATCAACAGGCACGAAATTTATTTCTAATGTATATTTTTATCTGATTACTGTCATTTTAATTGTTATTGGATTTACCATTTAGTTTACATACTCGGTCTTACAGTGCTGAGAAACATGTTCTCTGCTAAACAGCTGAGAGTGCGAATAGCTAGAAATGGTAAATTAGAAATTCCCTTTTGTTTCCAAAATATATATATAAATGCCTTACCTTTGCAAAGTAGCAAATGAATCAACCAAACCCCACAAAATAATAGTTATTTAAAATAGTTAGTAAAATAACTTATTACCTTATTTTGAAAAGAAAATATTGTTGCTAGCTATTTATAAGCCAAAAAGGGGGCAGCACTGGCTTAAGCAATTCCCTCTGACCAGTGCTGGAAAACACTCGCTGTCTTTTGAGCGGCGCACGTGGAGCAAAATCGAACTGCTCACGTTTTTCTTAAAGTTTGCTCTAAAAACCGGATAAATTAAGTTAAAAATATGGGTCGGAAGGCGGAATACAGTGATAAACCGAAGAAGGGACCTGGGCGCAAGGCGCGCAAACAAGGAGCACCTGTTTTTCGTAAACAATCGTTTGGTGAGTGCTGGTCAAGATTACCCCATCTTTCGGGTGTTCATTTCAAATGTTTTACTTCACAGCTCCCATGGAAGAGGAGGACAAGAAGCTCTCCCACCGACAGAAGCAGAGATTTGTGAAGCGGGAACAAAAGAAAGTGGTCCAGAAGGCCAAACTGCAGGAGAAGAAGGCTAAGGGAAAGCTACCGCAACCGGCTAAGCGGAAGACGGCCTACAACAGCGACAGCGATCCAGAGGATAATGAAGAGGAACAACAGGTTGCATCCTCCGATGAGGAGGTGCCTCAACTGGTGCCAGTTCCGCAGAGCAAGAAAACATCTCCCAAGGGCTTTACAGATGACAACGATGCCTGGCTGAAGCCCAAAAAACAGAAAAAGCAGCAGAAGCAGCCAGAAACGGAGTCCGAGGAAGAGGAGGAGGATGAGGAGTCGGAGGAGGACTCCCAAGATGAGTTGGAGGACGACTCTGACGGCGAGGGTGGTCTGGAAGCAGAAGAATCTGGAGAGGAAGATGAGGACGATGAGGAAGAAGACGAATCTGATGATGACACTGCTCAGGTTGGCAAGCTGGCCGATCTTTCCGACGATGATGATGTGAACTCCGACGATGATTTTGATATATCTGGCGATGAAGATGGTGTTCAGGCAGACAGTGATGAAGAGGAGGATGAAGACGACGATGATGATGATGATGACAAGCTGCCCATCGAACGGGCTAACAAGAAGCTCAAAAGGCGCGAGGCTAAGGAAGCCCAACTGGCCGACGACGAAATGTTGGAAACCGTTGACAGGCAAGATGTTTTCCAGCTACCCGTCGAAGGCGAAGAAACCGAGAAGGACCTAACCCTGCAGGAAGTGCAACAGCGCATAAAGGACGTCAGCTTGGTTCTATCCGACTTCAAAAAGTATCGTCAAGCGGATAGGTCTCGCGGGGAGTACATTGATTTGCTGCGCAGGGATCTGTGTTTGTATTACAGCTACAACGAGTTTTTGATGGAGAAGCTGATGGACATGTTGCCGCTGACAGAGCTAATGGAATATCTGGAGGCTTCAGAGGTTAGTATATTGCATAAACATGATAGTTGCACGGTTAATCCTTAAAATTGACTCCTTTAGATTGCTCGTCCCCTGACCATACGCACCAATACTCTTAAAACACGACGTAGGGATTTGGCCGGAGCTCTTATCAATCGTGGCGTCAACTTGGATCCCCTGGGCAAATGGACGAAAGTAGGATTGGTTGTTTTTAACTCCCAGGTGCCGCTAGGTGCAACTCCAGAGTATCTGGCTGGCCACTACATGATCCAGGGCGCCTCCTCGCTGCTGCCTGTAATGGCACTCGCCCCGCAGGAGAACGAACGCATCCTGGACATGTGCTCTGCCCCCGGTGGAAAGGGATCCCACATCGCAAGTATCATGAAGAACACTGGGGTGCTCTTCGCGAACGATTCTAACAGGGATCGCATCAAGGCCATTGTTGCCAATTTCCATCGCCTGGGAATTGTAAATGCGGTGGTCAGCTGCGAAGACGGCACTAAGTTCCGGAATATTATGACTGGCTTTGACCGCGTCCTGCTGGATGCTCCTTGCACAGGAACTGGCGTCGTCTCTAAGGATCCCAGTGTTAAGACCACGAAGTCGGAAGTAGATGTACAAAGGTGCTATAACCTGCAGAGGAAGCTCCTGCTGACTGCCATTGATTGTACGGATGCGAAGTCATCAACTGGCGGTTACATTGTCTACTCAACTTGCTCAGTGTTGCCCGAGGAAAACGAATGGGTCATTGACTATGCATTAAAGAAGCGAAATGTCAAACTCGTGCCCACTGGTCTGGACTTCGGCGTAGAGGGCTTTACCAAGTTCCGGCAGCATCGGTTTCATCCTAGCTTAAACCTTACCAAGCGCTACTATCCACACACCCACAACATGGACGGATTCTACGTGGCCAAGCTCAAGAAATTCTCCAACACCATACCCATAACTAAGGAGCAGCAGGAGGAGGATGAGAAGCAGCTGGATGAGGCCATCGAGGCGGAGGCCACTACAGAAGCGGCTGCTGAGCCTGAGGAGGAGGAGGAAGCGTCAAAGGAGAAGGGTCCCCGAAAACTGTTGGGCAAGCGTGCTGGAAAACCGAGTTTCACCGAAATCGAACAGGAGCTGAAAAAGAAGAAGCGAGAGGAGAGCAAGACCAAGTATGTGGCCAAGGTGTTTGAGCAACCTGTCAAGGCGCCGAAAAAGCCAAAGCCTGAAGAGCCGGCGGAGAAGAAAGAGAAGAAATCACAGGCACCGGTCGAGCAAGCAAATGGAAGCGAGGCACCTTCTAAACCTACACCTAAAAAAAAACAAACCAACGGGAAAACACCAGCTTCCAATTCAGATTCGAAACCATTCAATAAAAAGAACCAAGCAGCGAAACCCAAGGAAAATGGAACCGGTTCACCAGCTAAACCAGAGGGCAAAAAGCCAACAGTTAATGGCACAAAGTCTCCTGCTAAACCAGCAGCTAAGGAACCGAAACCGAAGCCACAGGCGAAAGGGAAACAGCCGGGAAACGCCAAACTGGCCAAGGCGCCGCGAGTGGATATCGACGATGTCCCAATTCTGGAGGGGAAGCCTATCAAGAAGCAGAACAAGCTGAAGCAAAAATCCAAACAGATCGGCCAGCTGAAAAAGCCCTCGGCGGGTGCGAATGCGGGAAAAAAGCAAAAGTTTAAGAAGTGAACACCTTAGATACAGTTTTGTTAAGTAGACTATAAGCTTGTGACATATAGTTGGGGTAGTCCCGACGCGATTACCTGTTTTATATTGCGAACTGTCTTAGCGACCGATTGAAGATTGAACTACAACAGTGGTGTAATTAAGATTCAATAAACGTTAAGCTCGGATTAATGTAGTCACCAAGCGGGTTTATATAATATGCATAGGTGCCAGGTACATTTAATTAGGCGGGGAATCGCTCTACATTTCAAATGGGAATATAGTATTGACCGAGTTGTCACTATCAGTTCGCAAAGCTCGATCGCCAGTTCGAAGGGGTCCGAGCTCAGCAGAGCGTTGTGATAATCTATTGTCTCATTAATATTTCAGTACGAATCGAGCGAGCTTAATGGGAAGTTTACTTTTGCTGTGCTCTTGCCTGGTGGCATTGTTGATTCCCATCCAGGCACTAGTGGACATCAACGTTGCAACGGCGAACGATATTCACCATAATCTCAATAGAACAACATCACCATGCTTAAATTTCTGGAATTTTGCTTGCGGTGGCTTCTCTAGTGCCTCTGAATATATAGACAACTTTGAACGGGTCGAGGATCAGTTTGCCAATGCCATGGTGGAGTTCATGGAGAGCCACTTGGGAGAAAACGATACACTGGCACCCCGACTGATAGGACAAATGCGACTATACTACAAGGCTTGCACGGAGGATACGCGAAAGATTCACGGGAATGCTCGTCCACAAGAACTGGTTAATCACTGGACTGTGCATCCTAAGAAGTTCCTCGAAGACGGCTTGAATGGTGTGTTCATGGATGAGCGAGTTGATGTGGCCGCCAACGATTCCATGCGTTGGGTTATTCAGATTAAGATGCCTGATCCGGCTGCCAGATATAGTGACCTGCGGGTCTTGCAGCTCATGCGTCTTTACGAAGAGTGGTACACGTGGGGAGTGGTTGAACTGGTGGAGAAAATGCATCAGCTTCAGGATAAGTATCGTGCAGAAAATCCCTTTGTATATACATGGAGTTACACCGAATTAAGGCAGAAAATCCCCATTCCACGTTCCTTTTTTATTGAATTATTGGGTGCAAATCACACTGACGAGTTCGATCGTCTGACTTTCGAGGTGAGTGATGTGGAGTATTTGCGGGAATGTTTTCGCTTCCTACGGGATTTCGCCAGTGAGCCCAAAGACACGTATATTCGAGCACGCCACTATGTTTTAGTTGAGCAGTCGGAGCCTAGGGAGCGGAATCCAAGAAGCTGCATTCACCACATGCGTGCCCATCTTCCCCTGGGCATGAACTACATCTATGATCGCTTTATATACCAAAATCGGGAGCAGGATACCCGGAAGCTACAGGAAATTGTATCCAATTTAAAGGCAACGTTTGGGGTATACTTAAATGCCAATCGCCTGCAGCTTACGGCACACCAGTTGGCCTACGTCAGAGCAAAGTTGGAAGGTATTCAGATTAGAATTGGAAATTTACCGCTGGAGAAATCTCCCGAATTCTATAACAATCACTATGAGAGTGCTAATTTCACTGAGAAAAATTTCCTGGCCAATCTGCTTGAAGCATTTACCCTACGAACCCGTCTCCAGAATGATGGACTGCTTGAAAGGAATTCTCGAGTGGATCTGCGGCACTACTACGTGAACGACAACGTGCGGAAAGCCCGTACTTCACCCTTCTATGAGAACGAAAGGAATACCATAACCGTACCCATGGAATTTTTGCAGTGGCCCTTGTTCGATCACCGACAGCACGCCATCTTCCAGCACAGTCTTCTGGGAGCAGTCCTGGGCCACGAGATGAACCACGCCTTCGAACAGGAAGGTATACTCTTTGATGTCGCCGGAAATGAGTCACCTCTGGGCTTTGAGATCCGGGAGTTGCAGGCTTTCCGGGATGCCCTTAAGTGTGCGGAGGAGAAACCATCCGTCTCGCTGAAAGAACGCCTGGCTGATCTCAATGGCCTGCAACTGGCCTACGATTCCTTCTTTGGATTGGCCCACGATTCCCGGAAGTTCGAGTACCGTCCGTATGCATTTGAGCGGCAGTTCTCGGCTCCCCAGCTATTCCACCTTAGCTACGCCCAGTTCTTCTGCGGATCCCTGCCGCCGGTGATTGCCCACGATCGGGATGATGAGCGTGTGAACGTGAGCGTTGGCAATTTGCGTCAATTTGCATACGACTTCAATTGCGAAACGAGTCACTCGTCCATCTGCGAAATGTGGCGCCCAAGGGAGGAGGCTAATTCAAATCGAAATGTGCATCCATAACACTAAAATGTAACACGGAATATATTGTGATCAAATGGTATGGCTCGCAATTGATATTTGTATTTCCATTAAATTTAACATTTTATGCAGTCATACACTGGAAAGAATAAATGCAATTCCTTGTTATAAATAGATAAGCAAACAAACGAATTTGTACTATTTAATAACTTCCTGTAATGATTGTATCTGCGATATTTAAACACTCCCTACTGCTGAAGGCTGCCCCAGTTCCAGGGTATTCACTGGCTTATTCCTGTTGGCAGCGGACACAGCCCATTTGGCGGGCCATTCAGTCTGAGTGTCAATTGCAGCTGACAGGCCATCGGAATCGCAATCACAATCGTTGCAATCGTCAATTGAATGCAAATGCCGCAAAAAATGCCGGTCTCACCGCGAGCTTTTAGCTCACTGCCTCTCCCACTTTCTCTCGCCGCTCTCTGTGCTCGAGCTTTTCAACTTGTTGCGGTAGTTTCGGTTCAACTGGTGTTGTGTCCTGTGCGTGTGTATGTGTGTGTGTGGGAGCCCTGATTTCTGTGTGAATGTGCTTTTCCACAAAGCTCGCATTTTCATCCGCCCCGTTGGCCGCAGTTTGGCGCTGTCTTTGGCCGCCTTTGGACGCGTGTGCCAGATCGCCGTGTCTGTCGTTCGACTGCCCGTAATCTTGGCCCGGCTGGTGCTCCTCCGTTTATCTCGCCATCTCGGCATCTCGCACAGAGCGCAGCATCCGCGTGAGACACCACGAGCGCCGCAGGCTTAATTCTGTTTTCCGTCTTAATTTCGGTGTTATTCCAGTTTGTTATTTTCGATTCGCTTGCTGTAGTCGGGAAGTATTCGATGTCATCTAAAATTAAACGTGTTCCCAAGTTCCTAATATGTGTCATTTTGACGATCGTGTGTCTGTGTTAACTAATGCAAACAAATAAATGATAATGATAAAAAGGCGATAAACGTTTAAAGCTCCGCACAAGAAAAAAGGGTGCAAAAAAACAACAAGAAAACCCCATGTGAGTGCGAAGGAGGGGCGCTAATTCGTGAGTTCGCCAGTTAGCTCGGTATGGGGCGTGAGATCGGGAGACCCTGACCCCCAGAACGATTTCAAACATTCAGTTCCAGCCGAAAAGATTCATTCCTCGGCCGGTGCATAACAAATTGGGCAAATACCGGGTTGCCCGGGGCCACAAAAACATTCCGCAGAGCGCCACGGGTGGCGCACGGGGTCCAAATCCGTAACCAAATCAAAATCCAAGTGGCGATGATCACTTAGCAGCTTGCTCCCATTAGCAAACAATGGAGAAGTCCGCAAATAGACTTTAAATTGAAGAATAAACGTCTGATTAGACTCAATGGCCGTCGGATTATCCGCTGCCAGCATCACAAAAAGCGAATAACAAATTTCCATTGTGAAGGGGGAGGGTCGTTGTGCGGAGGGATGCTTATACATATAAACTGCTTTATGAACCCGAAAAAACCTACAGCTTACGGTCCAAATATTATGAACCTTATTGACAGGTATTAAAATATATTTGGCATGAGTCCTTTTTCCTTTTCTGGCATTCTGAACAAGTCTCTTTATTTTTAAAGGCATATCTGAAACTGTATTTCCTTTATTCTGTGTCTATCCTTTTCCAACTATCATAACTGATATCGATACGCTGAAGCAGAAAATAAATGGGCATAAAAAGAAAAAAAAAGAAATATAGATAAATTGTGAAAAACTTTGGAATCACGTGTGAATGCGAAGTGTGAGCTCAATGGTCTCGAAGACTGATTGCCATAAAAATAGTTTCTGGTAGTTCTTACAAATATTGTTTTCTCCACATCGTTTTGAATTTTTTGCCAGTTTCACCTACCCACGATTTTATATCTTATATGCAAATGTGTTTGCTCCATTTGCATATTTACGACTCGGATTATCCGGATAAAGAGGGCCTCGAGGTGCTTGGGGACATAATGTTCTCTATAACCCCCCACTACCCAACTCCCCCACTTCTCTTCCCAACCTATGCTTCCTGCATCCTGCATTCGAATTTTTTAATTAATTCCTATCCGACGGGATGGGCATCCTCCAGCTTTTCCGAACTGCATTTGAAAATTCTGCTTTAATGCATATTTCATCACGCCCACACACATGCAAACAAACACTTACACACAAAAACGCGATGTTGTTGTTGTCATTGTTGTTCTTGTTATTGTTGAGCAAATATAAACACTTGTAATATTCACCCTTTATATTCGCCAGCTCCACTCGCACACCCCGATTCATTAGGCCCCCTCTTCCCGGGTCCCCAAAAGGCAAACAGGGTATACAAAATCGCGACTGGCTTCGGGACTCAGTAGGGCGCAAATTGTTTGCGAGTCTCCAATATGAATTGTTAAGTAAATACGAAAATTTAATTATACTCGATTGTAAGAAGGCGATGCAGGCGGCAATGTAAGTGGGCGAAAACTTTTGGGGGTTGGGGTCTAAAATTAGCAAATGGCTTTCGAGTGTAAGTACGCCAATTTCGAGTGGCCTTTGTTCGATCTACTAACTCTAAATGCATTTTGTGTGTTATGTGTTAGGAAGTGACTGACTTTGTTCGATTGCCCTTTCCGTGAGCTCCCCCCTGATCTTCAACCTTCAAATTCGCTTACACAGAGACAAAATGGGGTTAATAGCATATAATCATATATTTTTCATATGGGTAAATGTTGTGGTGGTTATTTCCTCTTATTTGAAGAAACTAATTAAATGCACATCATCCGATTTATATATATTTATATACATATTTAAATTTAACCATTAAAAAAAAAGAATTATAAAAGTAGAAAACACAAATTAAATTATGATTCTGGAATGCATAGAAACTATCTAAGCTGGCGACCCGAAAAAGCTGCTAATTGAGTATGCAAATTGATGGTTAATCATTTACATTTCCTCACTTAGTCACTATTTGCATAGCTAATTGAATGTATTAATGGGTATTGATTGCTCCCCTAGCAGCTGCTCCTGGTGTGGGCTCCTTGATGCTGGTGGTCCTTATCCTTGTATCCCCTCTGCATCCAGTGCCCCTGGAGCGCTGCTGCCGTACAGCAGATAAAACAAACTTTGCATGAACTCATGAAATTTTAAAATTACATCATGTTTATGTATCTGGGCGTGTGTCCATGACGGGGTGGAATTACTATGCATGTTTTTGGGTATCTCCATGGCTCCTGCTCCTTGAACTCCAACTCCTACTCCCACTCCAACTCCCACTCACCTGCCCTGCAACAGGCAATAAAATGCCCGCAGCTCTGTTGCCAAACTTGTGTGAAAATTGCAAATGAAAAGGGAAGTATTTTTGTTTCATTCCGACTTTATTCAACTTTCCGTTTTGGCAGGACATTAAACCATATTTACGATTCCCCACCGTTGCCCCCTGCAAATCCAATGGCTCCTCCGAGTTCAGAATTTGTTATGCCGTTGTAAGCCAATAAAATTAGTAAGCATGTGAAATGAAGTCGTCTGGCAACGCGGCGTATGCTTGATATCGCTCCCAGTTGCTCATACGCCATGTGCTCCGCTGCAAAGGTGCTCCATCTCCCAGTCCCAGTGTGTTCTGTTTGGTTTCGTTTCAATTTTCTTTTAATTTGTAAACTTTCGCCGTGTGGGTGTGGGTGTACCTGTGTATCCGTGTGTTTTGCTTGGCCTTAGACTACCTTGTCTCACGGGGTGATGGTCAAGAGGATAAGGATGACGAGGCGAATGACGATGTTCGGCATCCATCCATCCATCCATCTATTTATTTGCCTTCGGACGGCCAAAACCATAAATATCGATATGATGCCGCCTGACTGCGTCTGCCATTCCATTGGCTTCGATTTAATTCGCCTCGATTCAATGCGATTCGTTTCGATTCAATTGGATTTGATTCTTCCGCCAGCTGACGTTGTCGTCGACTTCTGACTTCTATACACGCTTCGCTGGGTGGGCTCGTTCATTCATTCATAAAGCTGCTGCCTTCCTGCTGCCCATAGTTTTTATTGCCGCTCGTCTTTTTCAGCACATTTCATTTACGTGGTTTTTATCACGCTCCGCCATTGGCATATGGCGTTGGCTTAATGTCTTTTAATTGATGCGAAGATAGTACAACTTTGCACTTTGGCGAAATTCATTGATAAGGCATTCATTGGTATATTCATAATGCCAAGATAGCTGAACGTTGAACATTGAACTTTAACATTTGTGTGTGAAAACTATGTTTGTAATGCCAATAAGTATCTGAAAACATTATGTATTATATATTGACTACAGCAGGAAGCTGCTTGAGTTACTACTTTAATATTTTTAATTTACGTGCATTAGATTGTCAAGGAAGCGAATGTTTTGTAACGAATATATTTTGTAACTTAAATATGTAATTAGCATATTATTTGGTTTCATCAACATAATGATTGCTTATCTAGGCATTTATTAAGTAAAATATGAAATATGTATGTGAATGGTATTTCGGCAGTCTTGCAGCCCAAGAGCAATTTCTGATTTATGGATAACGATTATTCACTTCATGAGTAAGGCATATGAGTTTCTCATGTGTAATATATCGGGAAGTTTTATGTATTCTACTATTCCTGCAGTTCCATTGCCATAGCTTCGCTCTTAGTCGGCCCATTTTGATGGTCAAGCGTGCATGTTACGGATTTCATGTCCGACTTTGTTGGCCTTTCCATTGCCCACATGCCGATGGCCAATTAATTTCCATTTGTTTTGACACTCCATAATTCATCGGAGGAGCAGCAGTGGAACAGGAATGTCGGAGAGCAGTGTGCGGTGGCCAGTGAATATTAGGCATACGCCCTGTTGCACCAGCCGCAAGAACTGCATGCTCACGAATCATTTGAAACTAGGCGCTATTATTATTTACATTGGTCAAACAGTCGAAATGTTTATTTGACTGCTGGGCAGCTAATTGTGGCGCATTTGGGGCCAGATTAGTTGCCCCCCATTGGCTCCAAATGACACGGATGCTAATGATTGCGATCGTCATCATCGTCAGCATCATAATCATCGCATCATCATCATGGCGATAACCACAAGCACGCGCTCGTCCAAATAATGCGCTTGTTTGCCAAGCCCATAAATAAATCGCTGCTTCTTTTTGGATGGAGAGCTTAAGATTGTGGCATGACGACTTCTATGCCAGATGTTTGGCCATTTCGGGATTGAAGGCAAATATTTGCCTACTGAAAAGGCAGCGTGGTATGAGCGGTTTAGAGCAATCGGTGAGGCGGAAAACGGTGGTTGTTCCAGGATCTGCTTTCATTTTAATTGAATCCCTACACAACGCAATTATCCGATGAATGCTTTTATGTAGGGCATTTTCAGTATAAGAAGAAAGGATGTTCGCGAGCCATAGTTTCATCAGACACGAAGTCAATTGAAAATCAATACTTAGTTATTTCTTTACAAACTCAGATTTCAGTATATAAATGATGTTGAATGAATATGCCTAATAATCTGTATTTATATTCCTTAAAAAACAATTTTTTTAACATCAAATTTCATGTCGAGAACATGTTCTGCTTCTCAGATGAAACAGTGTTAAAAGGTCATAAAGAGCAAGTTTTCTCAGAGAAAGAAAGGTACGCCTACTTTCAATTTTCGGACGGATTCCGCGGATTCCTCCAACGCGCTGGTAGGTGCAGTGCAGGTGCAGGTATTTCCACCAGACCTGCCGTGCCAGAGATCAAAGTGGTTGGAGGCTATTTATAGGGCGTAATTAGCCAGTCGGACATGGCCAAGATGGCCCATTCAACTGCACAGAGAACAGATATGGGGGATATGGGGCATGTATGCCGGTGTTCATGGGTCTCCAGCCAGGGCCACCGTTATCATATCTACCAACTTGACACTGACAAAGCTTCTGGCCAACTCATTAGCCTCCGGCTGTTAAAGCGGCTAAAGCACTGTGCGTGAGTCGGGCCGAGATGAGATGCGATGCGATGCGATGGGTTGGGTTGGGATGGGATGGGATGGTATGAGATGAGATGTGATGAGTCGGCGACCCGGGGAACAGCTCGCTGCCATGGTATTTGTTCATTAATAAATAACTTGACACTCTTTGTTTTAATCAGAGTGGCACGGAGGAGGGGCAGGGCATCTCTATCCTCGTCGGAGGGTGTGTACGTTGCCAGGTGGAGCCGCACATGCACCTGGTTTACACATCTGTCACAGCCGTCCCTGCCACAATTAACGGATAAAGTTACTGCCGTCGGACTAGTTTAATTACTTTGTTGCTTAATTGTTGCACGTAATGATTATGCGTGGCGGGAGTTTGTATTTCTCACACAAAGTGATAAACTTGTATTCCTGCTTTGAAAACTATTAACTGTCAAAGTTTTAAATGCAAAACTTGGGCTGCGACTGAAACTTGATTTAATTGCCATGATTACCACCCGAACTATCAGTTCCATCAAGTCCAATTAAATCTCCAACTAAGTATCCCACGAAAACCATCCAATTTCACTTCCACCCGTGCGAATCGGAATGTTTATCTGTGGCATGCAATTTTCATTGCGACAGCTATCGCAAATATTATCGAGCGAGAAAGAGTTATGACAGCTAATGGGGATCTAATGGCTGGACTGAGTAATAGGTATAGATATAGATGTGCGGCCCAATATAAGGGCAGTCGATCTGGAACGATTTCCGAACCGTGTGCCATAAAACGATTCAATTCCGCGACTTTGGCCGTGGAAAAGTATTTCACTGCGTTCCTGCCCTTTGGTTGCCCATGACAAACCCCCTACGCTGTCCATAAAGATTGTGCCGCAGTTATCTAGATTTAATCTGAGCCCACTCCCCATAAAAGAGACCCACATGGGCACGTGATATTCGCATGTATTATTTATACAGATTTTTTATAATTTGTATACACTAGCATAAAAAACGAGAACCATTAATCGCTGAGAAAAAACTGTGATTTTCCAAAAATCCTCTGTTAGTTTCTAGTATTTCTATATGTGGATTTATTTATTCTCCTCAATCAGCACAATATGGACCCTTGAGATTCGACCTTCTGGATAATTTTTGTTGAGTCACGGCAACCAAAAATATTTTACCAGCAAGCTAATAAATGCCTTTTATAATATATAGCATATCACTATAGCTATACGAGCAAATGGAGGCTGTTCTGGGTTGTGGGCTTGAAATCAGATTTCGCTGCTTTTTTCGGTGGCGAAGACTCTTTATTTGGACTGATAACGAGTACTTCTTTCTTGGCTTATTTACGCAGATTCGTTTAATTGCGCATCGGACGGCGGAGAGGGAGAAAGTGCCCGCGAAGTGCCAGAGTTCAGGATCGGAGACGCCTCGCTGACAGGTTCCTGCCGTCTTCCATATTGCGCCAACGCTCGCCGAGAACCCATCAGAGAACAGTCCAGGCACACATGGCAGACGACGATTTGAGGGCACTGGTCGATAGCCTGGATGACGCCTCGCAGGAGGACCTGGCCAAGGTCATCGCCAACTTTTCCGTGGACATGCTGCAACGGGCCAGCGCCCTAATTGGCGCCCAGCAGGGCAGCAGTGGGGGGCAGCTCCAAAACCGCACGCAACAGTGTCAGCAGCAGCAGCAGCGGGAGGAGGAGCAGGCCTCCCTGGAGGCCCTAGCATCTGGTGCCAAGCGGGTGAGTCTCGACAACTGGGGATGGGCGGGGCGTGGCCGGTTCCTAGCCCTCTCCGATGGGGCGTTAATTCCGAGCATTCCAACAATTTGGTCATGAAATAGTTAGTGCTCATTAGTAATTGACATGTTAGTCAATCCAACAACTCAGTTGTTTAATGCCCCACTAAACCACGTAATGTCCTTGATTGCACATCGATACCAACGCAGTTTGAGCTGCTTGTTCCACAAAATCCAACCAAATAGGAGTTCATATTGTTTCTTTATTACAAGTTATTTAATTTATAATAATAGTTTGCTATAAAGTTCCTCCGCTCTTACATAATATTTCGGAAAAATGCTACAGTAACGTTCTAAACTGAAGATTCCAATCCATCATGTTCAATTGAATCATTAACGTTTTGTATGGCAATTCAAATAAAAAGCGAGCCGGCCAATAAATATTTCCTAATTAGCCTTTGTTTGGCCAATGAATACATCTTTCTGGTCGATTGGGGAATTTTCCAATTAATCGTAGCCGCTAATTGATCCATCTTCTGTTCCAAAATAATTGGCTTCAATCCATCCGCCTCTGAATATCTCTCACTTTGAGTACAAAACGAAAAATTAGGCAAGTGAACTGTCGATTGCTTTCGGATTAAATTATTTTTGAAATAACTTTTGCATTTTCTTTCCGTAAAATGCACCAGCTATTTATTTGTGTATTCCTCGCGGGTTTTGTAAACAAAACTAGTACGAAAGGAAACCCACTTGAGGCTGCATTTAGCCATTTTTGTTTATACCGAATGCACGATCAAGGGCGTTATTCCTCGAAAATTGTCGTAAAACGTATTTATCGCATGACTGTGCCCATACGAAAAGGCTAATTAGTGAAAATCAGAAGAGCAAAGACAAATATTACCGGAGTTCCCAGTCGTGTTTGGCTTATTTGTTGACAGCTCACTGGTCGCGTGGCTAAGTCCGATCGCATTAGCTGTCGCAGAAGCTCAGGCTTATCAGAGTGAAGGCCATAAAAGAATTGACAACTTAAAGAATTATTCGACTAGTCTCCGGTTCTCCGGTTCACCGTTCTCGGTTCTCGGCGTCACCTGATAAGGTCAATAAAAATATCAATGGAGCTCTGTTTCTAACACCGCCACCATCGCCCGTCGCGATTAATTTTGCGGTACGAACTGGACTGGGTAAACAACCGCCGGGTCGTATACTTAACATTAATATATATACCTTGTGTATCCGTATGCATGAGATTGTTTAGCACGCCATTGCAAATATATAAATAAAGCGGCAGCGGCAGCAGCACCGCCGCTGATTTTATTCTTTTTTGGGTCTACAGCGATAGATGGCCACGCTGTGTATGTGTATAACATTTGGAAATTCAATTGATTAAAAGGAAACCATGCGTCAGAGCTATAAATGCTTAGGATCCACACCATAGGCACCATTATATATCGTGTCAGATACGGGGCATAAATCTTATGTACTCTGATTTAATGGGTTTTTGGGCTAGGTCAGGTGCGCTTACAAAGCGCGGCCAGTCACTAATTATACTGTACTAAATGCTTTTGAATGCCTGCCCAAGGTTTTCCTTGCCAATCTTTGTATATGCCCAGTCTGAAGTCGGTTGTTATTTCTACAGATTTTACAGTGTCCCAGCTCGTTCGATTCGGTGCTGTGTTGGCCGCGAACGAATGCCGGCAGCCTGGCCGTGTTACCCTGTTTCGAGGAATTCAAGGGCGTTCACTACGACACCACTGGTGGGTATTCCAGATTAAGCTAGACATGATCGTTATATAACGTCTATGTATCCACAGACAATGCCACCCGCTTTTGCTTTCCAAACGGAACCTGGGATCACTATTCGGACTATGACCGGTGTCATCAGAACTCGGGCTCCATACCGGTGGTGCCCGACTTCTCACCCAACGTCGAACTGCCGGCCATCATATATGCCTGCGGGTATTTTCTGAGCTTTGCCACCTTGGTGGTGGCCCTCATCATATTCCTCAGCTTTAAGTGAGTTGTAATGCCACACATAAATAAACAAACATAAATTCTCAAGTGAAAAATCTTCAGGGATCTACGTTGTCTGCGAAACACCATTCATGCCAATCTATTCCTCACCTACATCACATCAGCACTCCTGTGGATACTCACATTGTTTCTGCAAGTGGTAAGATAAACCAATTATTATGCATCCCTTTCCACTAATTTAGTTTTCACTTAGATAACCACAGAGTCTAGTCAGGCTGGCTGCATAACGCTGGTAATCATGTTTCAGTACTTTTACCTAACCAACTTTTTCTGGATGTTTGTGGAAGGTAGGTTCAATTGAGTTGGCGGTATCAATTGAGTTGGCTGGGTTTTATAATTTGACTTTTACAGGCCTCTATCTGTACACGCTGGTGGTGCAAACGTTCTCCAGTGATAACATTAGCTTTATTATCTACGCCCTCATCGGCTGGGGCTGTCCAGCCGTATGCATTTTGGTGTGGTCCATTGCCAAGGCATTTGCCCCACATCTGGAGAACGAGCACTTCAATGGGGTAGGCTTCCCCCAGCTGCCACTTAGAGACACTTTCTAACCTCTTCTGATTCTTCCTAAGCTGGAAATTGACTGTGCTTGGATGCGTGAATCTCATATTGACTGGATATTCAAGGTACCAGCATCACTGGCTTTACTGGTTAATCTAGTATTCCTCATACGCATCATGTGGGTGAGTCTCAGTTAACTTCCGACTTATGTGGGTTATCTTAATTATTATTATGTATATTTTTTCCTATCGTACAGGTTCTCATCACTAAGTTGCGTTCCGCTCATACCCTGGAAACGCGGCAGTATTATAAGGCCTCGAAGGCGCTGCTGGTGCTGATACCTCTTTTTGGCATTACCTATCTGCTGGTGCTAACTGGACCGGAACAGGGTATCAGTCGTAATCTCTTCGAGGCCATAAGAGCCTTCCTCATTAGCACGCAGGTATACAGATTAAGTGAGACTCTTTCCATAACCCTTCAGCTTCAAAAATCCATTTTTAAGGGCTTCTTTGTGGCATTGTTCTACTGTTTCCTGAACTCAGAGGTGCGCCAGACGCTGAGGCACCGATTCACGCGGTGGCGGGAGAGCAGGAATATCCATCGGAACAGCTCCATCAAGAATCGCAGGTGGGCTAACCAATCATTGAATGGCGACTGCACTCATTTGGCATTCTAGCACATTATTGTTGTTGGATTATATAACCCTGGCTGTCGATATATTGGCTTTTCACTATTTGCACTACCTAGTTGATGTGGCTATGGCTGATATTGTAGTTGTTCGCTGTCGTCGTTGTTGTCATTTAACCAATTAATTTCCATTTCAGGCATCGCGCCTCAAAAGACTACTCGCTGAGATCGCGAACCGAAAGTCTACGGTGCGTATACGCAATGCTCATGTATATGCTTTCTTCTCTCAGACATCCACCCACCCAATTAATCCCAAAGTTAAATTGCACCCATTCCCTAAATATACTAACACACCTGTACCATCTAAAGTGTTCTTTTCAAAACTGTGCATTTCCTTACATGAGTTCTTAATTTTGGGTTTCTTTGCATGGTTGGTTGGCTTTAAATATCCTATTTGTTCTTATTTATTTTCTTATGTTTCTGATTGGGGATTTTCTTTTTTTTCTGTTTATCGTTTCTTGTAGACTGACTTCAACAAGTCCTATACCCACAGGACACTATGAATGAACACCACACACAAATACACGTATACGACACCATACATGTAGAGCATATCCGTTCGCCCCTAAGTATTGCATGATAGTTTACATTATAAGAGATCAGATTAAAGTATTATATTTTTTATAAACGAACGGGCCATTTTGACATTTTTTAGTTGTTTTCTACGGCTAATTATAATTGATTTTCAGCACGGAAGAATGTGTTATCTGTCTGCGTCCTTCGCCACACACGCGATTGGGATCTCTGCAACGCTACCACAGCATCGATATCACAGATTTTGTCTAGATCTTATTCCATCCGAGGGGCATTCATTCAGTCCAACTCGTAGCGCTGGAGCCGCTCGTAAAACTGCCCGAAAACAAAGCCCTCGGTGTCGTAGGTCCTATAAAGTCGATACCAGTCCTCGTTCACGTGACGATTTGTGTAGACGGACTGGCAATAAATGGGAAAGTAGTTAATCGATGTGTATCTTATCAAGTCGAACTCGCAGGGAGCATGCAACAGCTTCAGATCGCCTTTGGCATCCGAACCGGGTTCTTCGGAGCGAGGTATTCTCCGGAGAACGTCAAAGGTGTCTGTCTGCAGACTTTGGTCCAGAAGCCTTTTCGACGTCGGCCGCTCATGACTTACTCGCATTCTCATCTGAAAAATGTAAGTCGGATAGGTACAATGTACTCGAGCAGAGCGGACCACAACTTACCACCAAACAGAGGAACAGCATTTGAACTGTGTTGCATCGTCTCATTAAGTATGTTTCCAGAGTTTCTGTATCACAATACTGAAAGCTATGGCCACCCAAAAAATGTGTCATGAGATTAGGAACCTGCTTAGACTGGACTTTTAGTTTATTTTCAAGAGTTACTTGGAGTTACAGCAGAAATTGTTAAACTAATGTTGGTTCAGAATTCAGGATTTTGATTTGTTGATATTTTCTTTGAAAATCTTAAGTACGAAAACAAGTTGCATAAGGATCCTATCAATCATTCCAACTGTAGAAATATTAAACCAAACAAACTGAATACCCCAACAATTGTTCCCCCATTTAAGTGTACATTCTAAATTAGCTACTAATTTACTAGTCGAGTGTCAGTTATGTGCCAATGCGTGCAAAAATGTTTCATAACGATTAAATATTAAGTTTTATTTCTAAGTTTTACTCTTTTAGCAGTTTTTTCTTTTTTTTCTGATTCTTAAGGTCACATTGTTATATCACTGAAAATGTAATTAAACGTATTTTAACTTAAGGCAACGGGAAATGAAAAGAAAACTAAATGAACATCAAATTAAAAGAAGAGGAAAAGATCATTGGATGTCAACCTTAACTAAATAATTCATATTCTGCGAATAAAGCTTTTAAAAATATCAAAATATTTGTTATTTCTTAATCGTGATTTATCGTCTAAAGCTACTTGTTAATCTATAAATGTATCGTAAGCCTATGTCTGTGTCTGTGAATTGATGCGTATGAAATCTACAACTATATCTATGAACTCTAGTGTTCAACGTCACCTGCATGTCAACCTCAACTTAATTCCCTACTAGGTCATTTCCGATCATTCTCTATATCAACTGCAATGTCTGTGTGCGCTATATTCCGAGATGGATTGTACTAGTAATGGGTGTGGTTTTATGTTTGTTCTATGAAAACGAAATTCGATTCGTGGTTTATGCCAGAAACCATTTCAAACAGTCGCCTGCTTCTTTGCAAAACGAAGCCAAGGTATTCGTATAAAATAACAATTAGACTATCAACTAACTAACGCACATTTTGGGAGGGATCACGGGATTGGGTTTGTAGGAGATTACTTTTACATCTTAGAGGTAATATCAAATGCATTCGCCGGGATTCTGGGCACAGTATTTTGGAAACAGCGCTTCAGCCCGGATGCCCAGTTCGACGAGGCGATTTCGAAACAGTGAGATTCTGCGGAATACATCTGGCGGCACTATGTCCATATCGTGATCATCGCTAGGATCGGTCCACAAGCGCTCCGCCAGAGCTGCTGTTCGGGGCCACAGCCGATTGTCCAGCTGATTTTCATCCACCTGCTCGGTCCACATGCACACTTCGCCACCCAGCACCTAATCAACGATAAAAAATATATTTTTAGTTATTAGCAAGCTAGGGCAATAAGATATCTTTGATTTAATATACAAATTGTTTAATCTAAATGAATCTTACTTGCTTCCTCCGCTTCTTGTCCAATCGCATGCGCTCCCACGGCCTGTGCTTGTAGACATTTTGCCAAGTGCGGTATGGAGCACAGGCGGCATCTCCAGTGGCCCGCCAGCTACCGAAGCCACAGTCCAGATACCAGGCGTCCACGTGAGAGAAGATTACGTTGTACCCATTGTCCAGCAAATCGTAGTTCTCCTGCCAAGTGCTGCCGCCCCATACCTGAACGGTGAATTGACTGTTTGGAAGACACTTGGTGTTGGTCAGGGCGCTCGACCAGACAGCTACGTGCTTAGGCGCTACTCCATTGTTGGCCAGTTTTAGTCTGCGGGACGAGATATGAGACTATTTGTTTTGTCATATGCTCAAAGAAGTTATCTGCTACTCACCTGGCCATAGCCTGGAGCATGAAATCGCACCACAATCCGCGGAGATCTGTATCGTTGAAGTATTGCGCCCAGCAATCAAGATTCACTTCGTCACCGCCCAGGTGGAAGAGGTCCGTGGGGCCTGTGTGTTGCAACAACTCCTCGTAGAGGCGCTGCAGAATGAGGTAGGTATGGTTATTCTTCGGATTCAGCTGACCGCACGGCGGTTCGCCGCAGTAGAAGCTCCATGGCTGCTGGTTGATGCACATGGCCAGCTCGCCCATTCCGCGCTTGGGTCCCCAATCCCAGCCGTTACCCGCATGGGCAGGCGCATCGATCTCGGGTATGACTTGAACGCCATAGATCTTGGCGAACTCGGCCACCTCGCGAACATCTTGCTCCGTGTACGTCTCGCTCTCCGAGTATGCTCCATGTTCAGCCAGCTCTGGATAGTAGCGCGAAATGTAAGGGAAACTCTGGGCGTCAGTGAGGTGCCAGTGGAAGCGGTTCATCTTGGCCAGGCCCATGCCCACAATCGTACGCTTGATGGACTCCACAGAGAAGAAGTGGCGAGAGGTGTCCAGCATGAGGCCACGATACCGAAACTTCGGGGCATCCTTCACCTTGCTATTGGCATACGTGTGCAACAGGTGATCTTCGTCGTCAAACCATATCAGTTGCTGCAGCGTAGACAGTCCATGCCGGGCTCCGAAGTAAGAGTTTGCGGTGATCTCCACCTGCAGGCGGTGGCCTTCGGCTGCACAAGAGTAGGGAATCAAGTTATAATTGTTCTCTTATCGTTACATCAGAGTACTCACTTAGGGAGCTAAGCTGATAGGTTTCATCATTCTCCAGGCTAAAGTTAAGGTCTCCGGACTTAAGCACGGTGATCTTGACCTGTATTCTATTTAAATCCCCAGCCTTCCTCACGCCAAAGGTGGCTCCAAAGAGCGTGGCAGCTGGTTCCACATCTGCATGGTGGCGTGACTTCGAAGAGGATTCGCTTACGGTCGACTCTGATGAACTACCCACGTAGTCCAACCGCTGGATTTGCCTCAGATCCTTCAGGAACCAGTCAAAAGCCAGTTGGAGCTGCTTGCGCACTTCGCGATGCGACGTCTCTATGTGCAGCTGCACATCCTCCACGGAGAAGCTATGCGTGTGGGAGCTGAGCAGGAATTTTTGGGTGGGGTGCGGCCAAATGTTAATATCACCGCACGTCATCGAGCAGCTGATGAACGAGACCCTCTTGGCGGATTTTCTATGATGGCCCACCCGGATGCATCGGTCATTCTCGCACTTGTATGTCCAGGACTTCTCGACGGGTCTGCAAGAACGAAGAGTGATTAGTGGAAGACGGATGATTCTTCAACCTGATTGGCATGTGGCACTCACATGGGAAAGCCACTGGCATCGTGGTGGCTGTGGGGGCGTTCCAGCGCCTCATTGTAAGCCTGGGCCTTGGTGACTCCTTGGTTCCAGTAGAGCACCGTCAGGATGAATATGGCGCCGGTGAGCAGCACCAACATAGCTCGGCGCAACGAAACAGCCAAGGACATCTTATAGAGATAGCGTAGGCTATAAAATAGACGACAAGATAAGAGTTATACGATGAGTTCACAGAAAATATTAATTAAATTTCAAATATTGAAAACCTAAATACTCCCAGATGTGCCCCAACTCCCTTGTTCAACATCTAACCCACTTTTTGCCTTTGTGTCACACCCACCAGTTGACATCATCTGGCTTTTGGCCGCCTGCCCGCTGGCAGCTGGTTTAAGGAACTGAGACAGTTGAGCAATAATGCACAATAGCAGAATAGCAGGTCGTGTCGCAAGACAATGGGCCACCATATCGACACCCCAGGCCTGCCTCCATAGCGTTCCGCCCACCCTGTCATGGGGGACAGGACACATCATACTTTAATCAATGCTCGCGACTTGGGTTTGACGAGCGTAAAATCAAAGGAAACCCGAGGAGTCGGGCCCTGCCACATGCCATTTAGTGGCAATTGTTTATCCTCGGCGACCGCGATGTCCTCACGCTAATACCAACGCACACATGGCACATCCACATCCACCTTCGTCGCAGGCTGGAATTGGGAATTGGGTCTCCAGTGTCGCCTGGCTGGCAGCATAATGAAAAATCGAAGACAGTTCCATATAAAAACATTAGGGGTCACGACATCGTAGCTCCCTTTCTTCCGCACCTTTCATACGGTATATAAAATATTTTAATCTTGTACTTTTGTTGAGTTCAAAAGAATTGCCCACTTTATTAGGACATTGAACACATTTGGTAGGAATTAAGCACCAAGTTCTGATATTCTGCTTCTAAGTTGAGAGGGGTAATAAATACTATAAAATGTTCTTTAAAAATTGAAAAACAACCTATATGGTATATTATCTAAGTAAACAAATATTATCCAAATATCGTTATGATAAACATGATTAAACATTTGACTAAAAGGGGAACAGAGCTTGTTTCCCAGGAAGTGAAAGCTACGTGTCAACCCTTAACACCATAAATTTGGAGTCCCCCATCCCATATCAACTTTACAAAGTAACCTATAATTTAAGGTTCTATGCTTCCTCATCGATTTCAAATCAAATTACTTAACAAATGAACGGAACCAAATTTGATTTCATATATTTTTAGAGGTGTTCCCTTTAAACTTTGCATAGACGAAGAACGAGGGCGAGACCTTGCCACCAATGGAGCATGGTACCTGGTGCCGGGTATCGTGTCGCTTTCCCTCGTAATGGGTGATTTCGGTGGCTGGTTGGTTGGTGTGTAGTGTGTGGTGGGCGGTACACACCTGTAATGCAGTGGCAAAATCAGCAAAGGACCTGCAACCTTTGCGTGCGACTGGAACAATCGAAGCTGGCTGACATGGGTGAGACCTTAAAATTTTCATTACGCTTCATGTGAAAATATGAAATACTTTCGCAGGTCATGCAACACGGGTGACTTCGAGACCCTTTGCCAGTTGCCACTGGCAACCCGAAGGAGGTGGTAGGTGGCACCTGGCAGCTTGGCAGCTGGTGCTCCAATGCAATGGACGTGCTCTTAGTGGTGACCTGGTCCCATCATTACCTTGATGGTCGTGCATAATAAATCAACAGGCATGCATAATTAATGCTGCCAATGCTCGGTAAAAAGGCGAGGAGTGCAAAAAGGAGGAAAGGATTGCTTGAATGTGACAGCCTCATTAGTTGCCACACAGCATACATGTGACTGTCAAAAATATTTGTACAAATGTGTAGCATACATTGCAGCGTTTTTGTTGCCTTCGCACGACCAGTTACAAAGATAGTTTGCTAGCTCTAATTCCACTTATTTTTACGCATTTATTGTAAGCTGAAGTGGTGTCTAAAATAACAAATACCTAGTAAAAATGTTTTGAGGAACAACCAGAAAAACCAATGATCAAGGTGGAACAAGCTGGATGAGTTGATTCTAATGACTAAAATTGTTATTATGTGAGTTTGCATTAAGGCGGAAAGGTAAAATAGATATATAATTGCACACCGATTGCTTTCCATTTAAGGTTTTCCTATGGAAATCAACATTTTGCTGCTTTTAGATTTTGATAGTAGAACTTGGCTTTCCTGGGCTTACCCGTAACGCGTGCGCAGAGCGGCGCTCGAAAGTGACCAGAAGCGCCCGAAACTATCCATCATCAGAGGGCCCACCTGTGGGTGGGCGCCACCTCATGTCCCCCTGTTGGGTGCCTGGTGCTCCGTGTCCCTGAAACACCGCTAGCCCCGCACCAGCTGGCCAGCTAGCTCTAATGAGTCACGTTGCCAGCTGCCAACTGTTGAGG